GATTGGAAGGCTGTTATTAAAAATAATGTATTTTACTATCAGGACAGTGATTGGAAGTTGTTATCAAACATAATGTATTTTACCATAAGCATTATCTTCAAATTTTCTCTTCTTACCAAATGAAATCTCTGAAACTTCTCTTTTACAGCGAAATCTCTGGAACTAAATGTTTATAAACTGTCACTTCTTACTAAAACTATTGTTTAAAACTATATCCTCTTACCAACAAAACGTATACAATCTACAAGTTTTTAAACTGTCACTTTTCAAAACATTATTTTCAAACTATTTCTTTTACCAAGTAAAAAATAGGTTCTTCTGTCAACAACAAGGTTTCAAAACAGCTTTTCTTGCCAATGATGATAAGTGATATTAGACTTTCATGAAATAAGTTATCAGAAATCAAAGATTCACAAAAACCAAGTAAATATTCCAGACTTTCATGAAATAAGTTATCAGAAATCAAAGATTCACAAAAACCAATTAAATCTTCCAGACTTTCATGAAATAAGTTATCAGAAATCAAAGATTCACAAAAACCAATTAGATATTCCAGACTTTCATGAAATAAGTTATCAGAAATCAAAGATTCACAAAAACCAATTAGATATTCCAGACTTTCATGAAATAAGTTATCAGAAATCAAACATATAAACAACATTCTTGGTGTAATTTCAGTTGGCTTACCCTTCTAACGTGACTGAAATGTTTTATAAACAGCATTCTTGGTGTAATGTCTGTTGGCTTACCCTTCTAACGTGACTGAAATGTTTTATAAACAGCATTCTTGATGTAATGTCAATTGGTCTACCCTTCTAACGTGACTGAAATGTTTTATAAACAGCATTCTTGGTGTAATGTCAGTTGGCTTACCCTTCTAACGTTTCTGAAATGTTTTATAAACAGCATTCTTGGTGTAATGTCAGTTGGCTTACCCTTCTAACGTGACTGAAATGTTTTATAAACAGCATTCTTGGTGTAATGTCAGTTAGCTTTCCCTCCTAACGTGACTGAAATGTTTTATAAACAGCATTCTTGATGTAATGTCAGTTGGCTTACCCTTCTAACGTGACTGAAATGTTTTATAAACAGCATTCTTGATATAATGTCAGTTGGCTTACCCTTCTAACGTGACTGAAATGTTTTATTAACAGCATTCTTGGTGTAATGTCAGTTGGCTTTCCCTCCTAACGTGGGTAAACAAGATTTTGTGTTAAATGGTACTCTTCATCTAATGCCATTATAACATGATCGAAACATTTCATATTACATGATATTCTGTTATAATGACAGATGTTGTGCTGTTCCAACATGATGTGGTTGGCCCTTTGAATCATTCTGCGTTTACACGCGCTTCACACACACCAATAATACATATAAGATTGGACTTGTAATACAATTACTATAATATCGCTTTCACTGTGATTGAATAAGTATAATTTCTTAACTTTTACACAGTTTTAACTCAATTTTTTTCACTTATTTACAAGACAATAACCTGTACAAATTTGTGAAAGAAAATTTTGACGATACTTGTTCATTATTTCTTCGAACATTTATAAAAGTTTTTTTTTATATATACATCTTCTTAACATCTGAGATGAAAAACTTTCTATAAAGAAATTCATCACGTGCGAACTTTGGACGCATGCGTGATAGAGAAGTAAGAAATTATTGTATTAATCTTGAAATTACTATGACTTCCTTCTTATATTTCTGAGAGCTGTACAATTTATTAAGCACCTTTTAATTATTTTACACATTATACACTATATGAATCACTCTCATTTCTAAGTTGGTAAAAATTTTAAAACATTCAGTTTTGTAACGAACTTTTTGTTTCCATTTTTCGCAATTACCCTAAGAAAATAGACCTCTAACAAATATAAGTAAAATACTTTAGGCACTTGTTCTTCGGGGAATTTTATCATTATTTATGTGAAACACCACTTTAAAGAAGAGTTTTTGATTTTTAAGTTTCATTGTTATCAACCAAAATTTATAATTATAGAACTAATATTTTAAGGTTGGTTGGCTGTTTTAGATCAAAGCCACATTGGGTTATCTTCTGTGTCCACCGTGAGGAATCGCACCTCGAATTTTAGCGGTGGAAGTCCGTAAACTTACCGCTGTCCCACCGGAGGACAATATTTTAAGGACATTTTAAAGCATAAACCCTCACATTTCGTGTCTTCGAACAATTATATTCCCGGGCTCGAGTATTATTAGATTACAAGATTTTCACACATAAATCATTAAGATGTACAACTATAAAACACACGACTATTAAAAGACGTCTTTGTTTCAAAACTTAATTATTAAGATTACTTCTTTGTTATTCACGAGAATTCTCCACTAGTTGTTTGTTCGTTGTTAACCACAAAGCTACATAATGGACTATCTGTACTGTGCCCATCGCGGGTATCGAAACCTGTTTTTTAGCGTTGTAGGCCCTCATTCTTACCGCTAAGTCACCAGTTATGGTCTGAAATGTCGCAAAAATGGAGGGATGAGAAACAATGTATTAAAGTGATACAAGTGATACATAATTAATTTTCACGATTTGAAGCAACTTGGTTGTCATTATTTCTAAGAGAAAGTTCACTCAGACGCTGAAGGGCCGAGTGTGGCCCAATAGTTAGTGTGCTGGACTGCATATCTAAGATTCCCTCGTTCGCGCCCTGTACTTTAGAAACCTGTGTGCGTTATAAAAGGAATTATCAAATCCTACTAATCATTGGAGAAAATTATTACTAGCCACCTTATCACTTTGAAATTAGCACAGATTGTCTTCGAATAACTTTTCCCTCAAGATTACATAAAAGAAAACAAAACATAAACTAGCATTGGATTAAGTCACAATTACATTATTACTTCAACGTTAAGGCCTAATAACGATATTGTTTTGCATAAGATTTGGATGTTTTTGCTAAAGGTATTACTTCAATATTATTATTAAAATTCTTGTAGTTTAATCACTGATATCTCATTCCATTGGTTTGATAAGTATATTGTTAATTCACAAAAGATATATTTCTTGATAATGATTTTCTACTTACCACCACGTGGCGTTGATGACACGTGCAAGGAACAGAAGAATTGGACAAATACGCGGTAAGAGATGTGTGATTTTCTTCTTGTACATGGTCAGTTCCTTCATGTGCTGGACACTATATCAAAGGTCATTCACTCCCTAGATCTGGTACGCCGAATTCTGAACGTCTTCCTGATTGCTGAATCATTGTATTAATAATCAATAGGGCGGATAACAATATGAGTTTAGTCTAAGTCTAACCTTGATTCAATATCTTCTATATATATATACTCTGCTATCTTTCCAGACACTTGTACACAGCGCAGAATTACAATGTGAGACACCAATAACTTGGTTCAGACAATGTTCTTCTTTTGCACTTTTTTGAGTTATAACATCTTCAGATTTTCCGTCCGAGTATTTGAATATCTTTCTAAATTCACCTGTAGTTATATTTTTACATAACACAAGCTTCGAGTTTTTACATTTTTTTCTGATGACTGGCACTTCTTATTCTTTCAATAAACTTAGATATATAAGCATCATTTCAAAGAAACCTTTTCCGAGACTACTGGGTACTATCAAGATCCCTGATAGCATATATACGGCCAATGGAAGGGAGGTGTGCATGTGCGTCGCTGGGGAAACTTGCCGCTGAGTTAAGGAAAACCTAGCCAATTGGAGTGAGCTTATGTGTTCTAAGCCGGGCTGAGAGTTTAGTAGGAACCGTTTTCTTACGTCAAGGCGTATGTTTAGAAAGTCTTGTTACACCTGTAAGGGAGGGATGCCACTGCGGCATTGTGCCGTTGAGTTAACAGAAGGCCTGGTCAATTGGAGTTAGATGATGTGGGTTGAGTGGGGCTGAGTCAGGTTATCTGTTTAAAACTTGTGACTACACTTGTTATAGGGAGAAGCCACCATCAAACATTACATATTCATTTCGCATATGCATGCTTTGTTTTTTCAGAATAGAATCGTTCTTAGAGATGTTTTAAACAAATTTATAAAACAAATATACTTTATACGAACTAGGAAATAACGTTAAAATATCTTTATAGTTGTAACTTCAATAAACCATATTACCCTTATAACTGTGACTTCAATAAACCATATTACCTTTATAACTGTGACTTCAATAAACCATATTACCCTTATAACTGTGACTTCAATAAACCACATTACCATTATAACTGTGACTTCAATAAACCATATTACCGTTATAACTGTGAGTTCAATAAACCATATTACCGTTATAGCTGTGACTTCAATAAACCACATTACCGTTATAACTGTGACTTCAATAAACCATATTACCGTTATAACTATAACTTCAATAAACCATATTACCGTTGTAACTGTGACTTCAATAAACCATATTGCCGTTATAACTATAACTTCAATAAACTATATTACCGTTATAACTGTGACTTCAATAAACCATATTACCGTTATAACTGTAACTTCAATATACCATATTACCCTTATAACTGTAACTTCAATATACCATATTACTCTTATAATTGTAACTTCAATAAACTATATTACCCTTATAGCTGTAACTCCAATAAACCATATTACTTTTATAGCTGTAGCTTCAATAAGTCATATTACCGAGAGGATAAGTGTTTCAAAAACAAAAACACCTAAAGCAGCAAAGTTAACATCAGTTGTAAAGCAGCCAACTTATATAAAATGGGACAACTTTATAGACATGTGATATATAAAAAACAAAACAGTCAACTTATATAAAATGGAACAACTTTATAAACATGTGATATATAAAAAACAAAACAGTCAACTTATATAAAATGGGACAACTTTATTAACATGTGATATATAAAAAACAAAACAGTCAACTTATATAAAATAGGACAACTTTATAAACATGTGATATATAAAAAACAAAACAGTCAACTTATATAAAATGGGACAACTTTATAAACATGTGATATATAAAAAAAAACAGTCAACTTATATAAAATTACAAACTTTATCCTTCTAACTTTGCTGGAGTCACTACTGTGTCTCTAGATACTATCAGATTTGACCAATAGTTCGGTCCTATATATACAGAGTCACAGAAGAGTTACTCCATCCTTCTAGCTTGGCTGGAGTCACTACTGTGTCTCTAGATACTATCAGATTTGGCTAAAGGTTCGGTCCTGTATATAGAGTCACGGCAGTGTTACTCCATCCTTCTAGCTTGGCTGGAGTCACAACTGTGTCTCTAGATACTATCAGATTTGGCTAAAGGTTCGGTCCTGTTTATACAGTCACAGAAGTGTTACTTCATCCTTCTAGCTTGACTGGAGTCACTACTGTGTCTCTAGATACTATCAGATTTGGCTAAAGGTTCGGTCCTGTATATAGAGTCACAGAAGTGTTACTCCATCCTTCTAGCTTGACTGGAGTCACAACTGTGTCTCTAGATACTATCAGATTTGGCTAAAGGTTCGGTCCTGTATATAGAGTCACAGAAGTGTTACTCCATCGTTCTAACTTAACTGGAGTCACAACTGTGTCTCTAGATACTATCAGATTTGGCCAATAGTTCGGTCCTGTATATATAGAGTCACGGCAGTGTTACTTCATCCTTCTAGCTTGGCTGGAGTCACTACTGTGTCTCTAGATACTATCAGATTTGGCTAAAGGTT